AGGATTGAAAATGGAAGTATGGGTCAAATTAAAATGGTTTTTAAAATGGATTTTCACAGCGAATTCTAAAAAGTCGAAGGCAAGTCGAAGCAACAACAATGGTGTTCATACAAAATACAAGGGAATCTCAGATGATGACAAAGAAACGACATACATGAATGTTGATTTTCTCAAATCTCGTTCAATCGACGAATTTCTGGATGAAACAGGATTGAGATTTTTTCATTGGAAAGTTTTCCTCTTAATTTGCGTTCAACATACGGCAGGCGCGCTTGGAGCTTCCATTTTATCCGTGATACTTCCGAGTCTAAAATCAGACTGGGATATGTCTTCAATCATGGCTGGCGTATTGACACTCTCGATCTCTGTCGGAATGGTGACCGGATCACCGTTTTGGGGTTGGGTGTCGGACAAATACGGTAGAAAGAGTTCACTTTTTGGCAGTGGCATATTTCTACTTGTCTTCGCGTTCACGAGCGCGTTCTCAACAAACTATTACTGGTTATGGATGAGCCTTTTCTTTGTTGGCTTTGGGGTTGGCATTGTAGATCTAAGCTATGTTGTAATAGTGGAATTCTTCCCGCTGAAATATCGAAATATGTTTTCAGTATTAATCACGCTGTTCTGGGCTTTGGGATTTCTGCTTTCGGCTGTTGTTTCAATGAAGCTTTCGGTGATCGGTTATCATTGGGCTCTGGCTACCGTGTGTTTTCCGACTGCAATTTTTCTTATCGGTATGATATTTCTCCCGGACACTCCCTATTATCACCTTGCAGCTGGGAACGAGCAGAAAGCTTTGAACATTCTACAAGATTTGGCGCCTGAAATGGATTTCAGCGACACAAGACTTCGGAAACACAATCCCGAGACACAGAGGGCAGATTTCACACAGCTATTTCGATCAGGTTATTGGAAAAACACAATAGACCTCTGCATTGCGACATTCGGAATCATGGTGACGTACTGCAGCTTAATATACACCGCGACTGAGGTTGCAGGCAGTCAAAATTCAACTATAAATGGTTCGCAAAAACATAATTTTCATTCCATTATGGCCTGGATGAACTTGGCTGAGATTGCGATCGTTCTCATAGCTGCTTTAAGCTGCTACGTTATTAAAGTAAAAATTATGGTCCTGACTATTATATTCTTGGCATTCTTATCACAGATTATCGCTGGTTTTGTCGTAAACCAAATGCTTGCATTACTCATAGCCACCATGTTATCTCGAAGTTTTCTTGTAACAAACACAACTCTAATGGGGTTATTTGCGTCGCTCGTTTACCCGACAGAAAATCGTAGCATTGGGGTTGGAGCTTGTATGTCTGTTGGTCGTATTGGGACAATTCTAGGACCGTTCATCTTCGAGACATTCTTTGCCCAAAAGTATCTTAATGGAATTGTATTTAATCTTGTGATATTATCCGTGACTTATATAGCAATTGTCTTGCTGCCGTCGCAAAGCGCCACCTTAAGTTAGGTTTCACAACAAGGACAATGATATAGCAAAAAAATTGAAGAAAGAAACTGGGTAATTTGCTAGTTTTTATTAGCTATTTGATAGTGATAGAAAATCCGATACTAAAAAGCGCATTGAGTAATTTTAAAGATACTATAACCCAGGGCTTTCTTTGTCGCGTCCTTCGAAAGCAAACTGTAATGACTGACACGCCAGAAGGATGAAACTCGCTGACTGCATTAATGTATTTGATAAAGTTCGTTGTGCTTGACATTAAATGCATATTAATTGGGATAATACAGGCGTAAACGGCCAATCAGAATCATTTCTGCTATCGATTAGCCTAGAGCCAATGTTTGTATTTATGGACCAGCAGTTGTGATAATTGACGTGACAATTTGTATGCAAATACGCCTTCACAGTCGACCGTCACTGGTCAAGCGCGTATCGTCGCTAACATTCCCCACATATTTGTGTTCTATGGAAGTAATTATACCAGAAAAAATATTATTCAACACAGTTCCAAGTGAAAGCAAGCGAGGGTTGAAAATGGAACAATGGGTCAAATTGAAATGGTTTTTAAAATGTTTTTTCACAGCAAATTCGGAACATTTGGAAGCAAGTCAAAACAAAGACAATGGTGTTCATGCTGAATGCGCGCAAAGGAATCTCAGACAATATTTCAGATGATGAAAAAGAAACTACATACTTGAATGTTGACTTTCCATAACATAAAAATTGATTGAAGAAAGCAACTGAGAAATTTGCACATATTATTGACCAAGCACAAGGTCTTTACCAAGAAATATTGGACCGAGGCTTTTTTGTACAGCAAGACCGAGCCCGTGAGGCGAGGCTTGTACGATCAAGGTCCGATATTTAACGGTAAAAACCGAGCATGCATGGTATGTTAATATTATAGTATGTGTATTAGTACCTATTATAGTATGAGTTATGGATTGCATCTCAGATTTCAATCTCATAATGGTCGATTACAGGGCTTAATTTCACCAGAAATGACGCTTGTCTCTGGCCTCGTTTTTGATTGCTACATCCAGTGTATTTATGGATCAACAGTTGTGATAATTGACATGACATATGGCATAAGTTATGCATTGTATTTGAAATTTCAATCTCGTAATGGATCGCCGGTCCCAGTACGGGAAAGTAAATAAGCTCTTTTTCAGGTAATCACTGCAGGACTTAATTTCACCAGAAGTGCATGGCTCTTTTCATATTAACTGCACACGCCGAGCACAGTAAGCCTACACCGGCTACCATAAGTAAAAGATGTAGTGCGGTTTTGAAATGGGCTGTTCTGTGTTTCTCCTGCTTTCAACATGCGACCTATAGTTCGGTATATTGTTCATTTTTATTATTAAGAACATTTACGACATATGCCGAGTAGTTAAGCGACCATAACGCCGAGTAGTTAACATGCACAACTGAACGAAAGCGTACGAACAGCCTCATTAACTCAACGTTATACGCGTTTAAACTGGCATAAGCTCGCTTGCTTATTGGTCGAAACGACAAATCATGAATTTTTGTCAAACATACAGGGTGTCCCAAAAATATGTCCCATATTTAAGTGAAATATGCAGAACATTAATACAGCTCTAAAGCGCAATAGATAAGCACCTCTGGGAATTGAAAATGGCTCACATTGCTGTAGTTCATTAAAGACATTGCGACCACTGAACGCCGAACGCACCGCAAAATCCGGAGGCAATACTCTTTCCATACGTACTCTTGGGATGTTTGCTTGAGAACATACTGATGTCAGGAATAGTAATCTGAAAAAGCTTTCAAGTAATAGACTCGCGGTTAACAGTGCATGGTTTCTTTCTTCAAATGAAGACCTGACATAGCTTTCTTCTACCAATTCGTTGCCTGCACTCAACACAGGTGTATGCACGGAGAATAAAATGTTACCTACATTTGCTAAACACTGCAGAGTGATTGCAATCACATGTAAATCGTCTGCCATAACTGCGGTTGATATGATTTAAAACGTACAAGTATTTGCATGAATATAGAAAATGGGCATGCAAGGTCAATTTCCATACTTCATTGTCCTTCATTGTTATGAATGACAAATCACAAAGTTTGTTCACATAGATTAGTGCTTGGCGGCCCAATTACTATTAGCATAACTGAATATTCGTACGTTAACGTTAAGTTGTGCATGTTAACTAGTAGGCGTCTTGTTGAGTATCAATTTAGTCTTCGGGGGCCGGTTGTTCAAAAGCAGGTTAAATTTAACCCTGGGTTAGTGCTAAACCTGGGTTAAAATCCTTAACCCTAGGTTAGCTAAACCTGGGTTAAAACTGTGTTGTTCAAAGCTGGGTTAGCGGAAGGGTTAGTTAACCCAGGGTTAAAATATTTAATCTAAGATTAAATGTATTTTAACGATTAAATTGGATATAAGAACGTTTTGGATTGGTCAATAAACGAGCGTCAAAACTTTACCGGACGAGGATATATTGTCAGTCGAAAGATTATATGCCGTGAGGGCAGGGTCGCAGGGACGTTGTTTTGAACAGCATTTCCGTGCATGCCATTTTGTATAATAAACAATGTCGATGTGAAATAAAATTAAGCAAATTATAAACAATCTAAAATCTATTTCAAAATTTCAGGCATTCTTTGATTATTCAAAATTCAGGAACAAACGTAGCCTTAATACTTGCTGCCAATCAAAAGAATCGAATTTTGGCATCCGAAACAAATATTTCGATTACGATGTTTTATTTTGTACGGTTGTATTCATTTATCGTGTGTTGCATTGAAGCGAAGATAAATAAATCAATACATCAGCTGAAACCGAACGAAGTCAAACTTAAATAATTCTTTGCTGTCGAAATTATTCGTAAAACCTTTCAAAAGTGTTTAATTCATGACGAATTATACGTGTTTACGTGTTTCAGCTCCTTATTCATCCATTTTGAATCGAAGTTAATCCAGGATTAAAAAGTTAACCCACCTAGCTAGCAGGGTTAATTTTTTTTATCAATTTTAACCCAGGGTTAACGCTAACCGAGCTTTGAGCAACGCGAATCAACCAAGGTTTAAAATTTAACCCTGGGTTAGGCATTTTTAACCCTGGGTTAGCGTTAACCGGCTTTTGAACAACCGGCCCCGGATGTCTATTAATTCTGGGTTCGTTTTTCATTACTACATCCAGTGTATTTATGGATCAGCAGTTGAGATAATTGACAATTTGTATATCGCTAACATTCCCCACATATTTGTGTTCTCGCGTTAATGCAAGTCATTATACCAGTTGGAAATGCGACTTTCGGTATGGAAAGCCATTACTGCCAAAAGTCGATTAAGTTTTGGAAACTAGTTCAAATACAGATTAAAGGATCATAACGACGAAACGACATGGTTCAAATTCTCGCTAGCGAGTTTCACCAATATCTCGCTAGCGAGTTCTAAAAAATTAATTTCTCGCTAGCGAGTTTCACAAAAATCTCGCTAGCGAGTTTCAGAAAAATCTCGCTAGCGAGTTTTACAAATTCTCGCTAGCGAGTTTTACAAATTCTCGCTAGCGAGTTTTACAAATTCTCGCTAGCGAGTTTATCACAATTCTCGCTAGCGAGTTTAACCAATAATTATTTCTCGCTGGCGAGTTTGAGAATTTCACCACTGTCCATTTCATCTACACTAAATGGCGCTCATCACCGATGGCGGCCACTGCCCAATACAGTGTGGGCGCACGTCTTTTGCCGCCATTTTGCTGAATGTGACAACCTCGGGCAGTGAACTCACCTCGCGTTCATCAATATTTATATTTGCTTGTAGTAATGAATCCAATCGTGCGACAAATTCTAGATAACATCGACCATTTAAGTCAACAACTTAGAGGTAACTCAGCTAGTTCCATATCAACAAACGGAAACGAAAGCGCAGTCCCAGGCAGAACTGGAGGAAACGTATCCGGAAGCGAAGTAAACCGAGTAAGGCAAACCTAAATTATTATTATTAAAAAAATTATTTAGATGTAAGGAACAAAAATATCAAGCATTAATTAATGAGCAGCGTAAAATGTATGAAAAAGTAATATTCGTTAATATGTCTATTAGTACATTAGGTGTGTTTTCTAAACCAGCATTAGGTTTCATGGATATGCTGAAAGATCTAGAAGTTGATAGTCAATGCAGAAAATATCTTGTTAGAAAAATTATGAACATTTGTATAAGGTCTTCCTATTATATATTCTGTAAACGTAACAAAGAATGGAATAACCCACAACTTATATCATACTAATACATTTAATCTGTAAATACAACATGTAACCAATTCAAGTAGACACTAGTAAACTACCTGTCAAAGAGAGGTTTACCTTTGTAATTTCTATCATAAGAAAAAATATCAATAAAGTTTTCATTATTATTATTATTATTATTATTATTATTATTATTTATTATTATTATTATTATTTATTATTATTATTATTATTATTATTATTATTATTATATTATTATTATATTATTATTATTATATTATATTATTATATTATTATTATTATATTATTATATATTATTATATTATTATTATTATATTATTATTATTATTATTATTATATATTTTATATCAAACACTAGCACCATAATCATAAATCATAAATAATATTAATCATAAATATATGTACAATTTGTAAAAATGAACTCCAAGCATGGCATTACTGTTGTTGCAATGAAAGTGTTAATGAATATTGCATCAATTCATTACATAACGTTGATCAATACATTTGCTTAAAAAGTTGCTCAACTTCCTGTTAACTGGCATGCTTGTTCCTAATTGGTCGATCAGTTGCAGAAACAAAAAGCCATCGGTCAATTTGCATCTACAAGAAATTGTTCAATTTTTCAACGAATGTTTTGATCAACTTTATGGGTAATGAATTAATGCAATATTTTATCAACACTTCCATCGCAACAACAGTAATAATTCGTTACATAACAGTGATTTTCATCAGTAATTTTGCAGCAGTGTTTATGTTGGATTTTCCTTCTCTTTTGCCTTTCCTACCTGTTAACTGTATATAATATATATGATCTTCACATGTGTGCTGTAGGTGGCCGATAGTGTCTCCAATGAAGTCTCTCAATTGTTTGGGACAAGAAGAGCAACAAGCAGTAACAATAACTCAACAAGAGAAGGGGCAGGGAACAGTTCTAGTTCAGCTGTTGGAACTCCACGCTTTCAACTAGCCCATAACTTTGGTCGCCGAAGAAATTCTGGGAAAAAAAAGGATAAACCCATTGTAGGCCCGTTCTTAAAAGATGTTGTTTTACTCAGTGGTCCACTTGATGACAAAGTACCACGCCAAGGAACGAGAGTTTGGCTGATGGAAAACAAGCATATATTGTCTGGTGTACAGTTTCAAAAAGAATGGGATAACCACACATTGCTATCCTTTATCAAGAGCTTATTTCCTTCTAAACTGATCGAAGTGGATATTGAAATTCCGATGCCAGTTCATTTTAAACTGGTTCCACCTACTCTAGCTCCAGGTCAAGCATTGACTGGGTACATTGTCCAAAAGATTTTTAAAGATAAACCCATATATGTCCGTCCTGCCACACAAATTATTCAACTGAGCCTGGACGATTCGGAGCCTGATTTAAAGAGAGATAGACTTGATGATCAAGAGTTTGAGGTAATTTTAGCCTTTGAGGACGTCATGCATTCATGTATGCATGATCAAGAGAACCTGTGATGTTTGCATTGCCTTTTGGCGCAATAAATTCTTTGTTAAGTATGCATTGTTCTTCTAATATGCTGTAATTGATTGTAAAATATTTCTCTAGGAATATGCCATGCATTCATCATGGGGTGATGACGCCCCTGCTGTTGAACCAGAATCATCAAGCGTAATATCAGGTAGAATGTTGTTTAATTTTGGTTAGAATACTCTACGATTTATTATGTAAATGTAAAATAGTTTATATTTTGAGTAATAACTTTTTTGCTTCTAAGAAATTCCAAATGAGGTGGAAGTGATAGCTTCACACCCTAAACCAGAGGCTGAATTGGAAGAAATGGGAACACCTTCTAGCAGAGAATGCTTGAGCTTGCATGATGCTGCTGCATTTGAAGAAGTTAGCGAAAGTGCTGCATTGTCTGTGCCTACACCAAGTAGCCCAATAGTTGAAGTGATATGTGTTGATGAATCCTCTACTATAGATGAAGTTGCAAAAAAGTGCATTGATTATTGCAAAAAGAGGAAGATTGAAGATCCTATAGAAATACTCAGAGTTCTCCAGCAGTTCATCGTTACAGGTCGCCAACTGGACATTCAAGATCCTAGCGATTGCTTGGAAGGCGATACTAATTACATATTGGTTAATCGCCAGAATGTCCTAGCTAGTGCAATGGAAGAGATTGAGCCATTAATGAATCCAAGACTAACGCTTGAAGTGTGTTTCTATGGAGAAGTTGCCGCTGACATGGGTGGGCCACGACGAGAGTTTTTCCGCCTCTGTTTGCAAGAAATTAAGAGTAGGTATTTCGATGATGGCTTAAAAGAGCACCTGGCTAATGAATACACTACAGTTGGGCTCATCATGGCGCTGAGTATTCTTCAAAATGGCGCAGTACCAAGATTCTTGTCCCCAAATGACCTTCAAGACCTTTTCACCGCAGAAAAGCCTTCAACTTGTTTGGAAAACCTCCGCTGTGGTTTCGCTAAACTTGGTCTCCATCAAATTGGAAAAGCTCTGCCAACATTTTTGTTTCTTCTTCACCCATCGGAAGCAAAGCATTTATCAAGACGGATGCTCCTTCATATTCTTTCGCCCAAGTTCTCTGAGGAGGGCTCAAATGCCCGCACGGACGAGAACATTGTCTATCAGGCATTCCTCAAGTATGTACAAGCAACTGCAAGTGGCAGAAGAGGATCAACTTCTCTCAACCACATCCTACAATTCGTGACTGGTGCAGATGAAGAGCCTCCGCTTGGATTTTGTCCGCCACCTAGTATTATATTCGTATCGGTGGACAATGACAATCTTTGGGAGTTTGTACCAACAGTCAATTCATGCGCAAACATTTTGCGTTTGCCACGATGCGTTTCAGGCAGATATCCACTACCTGATGAAGAAAAATTGTTTGAACTCTATGACACCGCCTTTGCCAATGCATACTTTGGACGAATGTAGGAAAGTGTTTGGAAAATGCTTTGTTATTTTAAACAGCGCTATAGACAGATAAGATTGATATTTATAAGCCTTTGCCTTGTTTGAAAAGGACACTTGTTGAAATTTGTGATTATAACCATTGGTTAGAATCTTTGTTTTTTAGGTACGGTGATTATAAGTTTCTTTTGTGTGAATTTAAATTCCATGTGAACATGAAAGAATAAGGTGTCTGGTATTTGGTCATACTGTTAGGGTCGATAACTGTTACCCTTATCAAAGACTTTTTGTTGAAGATGAATTACAAAAGTGTATAAACAATTTAAAATTCACGTCTATAGTTTTACCATACTAATTTTTCGTGCAAATATATAGTTGTTATGTTTCTTGCAAGTATACTCGTTGCCTTGGCTATTTTCAGCATGACACCCAAGGAGAAAACAGTGCAAACTGGATCAATTACGAGAAATTCTCTAAGATATAAGAGCGGGCGTTCACGAAATGGTGAATTCCTGAATCACCATCATTTGTCAACGGGTCTATGTTTTGTCTCAGTTCTGATACTTCATCTTCAGTCAAATGAATTTCACTTTCCGGAATTACGATTGCATCATCCTCATAAAGACTGGCTCTGTCTGCTGGAATCTCATTGTCAATACCATAATCATTAAAGTCACCAATATCAATGTCATCACTGTTGAGAGTCAGCATACCATAGTTCCAAAGTGATATTGGTGAGCTTTGTCTAGTGGTTCTCATACCATGATAGTTCCACTGCAATATCAGTTCTTCAATAGACTGGCTAATGCGTGGTAAGAATATGAAGTGCAGGACCCAAAGGTCAAGTTCATCAGATGGATCTAAAATACCATGATGTTCCATATGCAAAAATATAGCTTTGTAAAAATTCGTCACAAGTCTGTTAACCTCTCGCCACAGCCGTTCAATTCTTGTGTTATGGACGCTTCTCCCTGCAATGAAACTTCCCCGATTTAACCCTCGTTTTGAAATCATAAACCTGGCCACACCATAGTTTTCCACTCCACGATCACCTCTAACTCTGCTGGGTATGCCGTAATGCAAAATCCCTTCTTGAAAGTATTCTAAGGTAGCTGCAGACAAATTATTAGTAGTACATTTTAGGTAGATGATTGTTCGGCTATAACCATCTACACAGCCGTGAAAAACAAACCTCCAAGCAATTAGTTTATGGTTTGAATCTATGTGCCATAGACTGTTCGGTGCCCTAACATTGTAAATCCGTCTTTGCACAGAGCAGGTCCAACGAACAGCTCTACCAATGGGATCAACAATTTGCAGCCGTTTTCTTACTCGCCAACGCTGCACACGAATACCTCTTCCACGTAAACTACCGCGAATGTACGTTTCCCCTGCTTTGGGAGTAATATTCAAAATTCCCCTTAGTAATGCATCAAGTTCTTCATCACTGATATTGGAGTACTCCAGTTCCATACCAAAGTTCTGGACCCTCCTATACAATGTCCTTTCGCTTACATTAAGACACCGTGCAATTTTGCTCCAGGTCATGCCTGTTTCACGAAGATGTTCGAGCTGCTGAGATGTAATCACGAATTTAGGACGGCCAGATGTTTTTTCTATAGGTAAACAATAGCTTGAATTCGGTAACGCTGACTCTACTGATGAAATTCGTTCCTTTACCATCTCCCACTTTGAATAGGCAAAATCGTAGAACATTTTCAATAAATTAACTACATGAGCAGATTGCGGATGCTGCTCATTTTCATCATTTTCGCAGGCACAAATAATGCCATTTAATACAGTGATAAAATTTTCCAACCTTCTTTCCAAATGCTCGGTCAATAAGTTATCTGTAACGCTATCCAAATGTTCCATCAAATCGCTAAAATCTCGAAAAAAAGCTTCCAGTTCTTCCCTGTCGGACGCCATGATACATTAAAAGGAAGCTCCGAGAGACAAAGTCAAAATTCGACGAATTTTAAAATATAACGTAAACGAATTTTGATAAACTCCCTACCAAGAAATGAGGCTTAACCTTGTGAAACTCGCTAGCGAGAATTGTGATAAACTCGCTAGCGAGAATTTGTAAAACTCGCTAGCGAGAATTTGTAAAACTCGCTAGCGAGAATTTGTAAAACTCGCTAGCGAGATTTTTCTGAAACTCGCTAGCGAGATTTTTGTGAAACTCGCTAGCGAGAAATTAATTTTTTAGAACTCGCTAGCGAGATATTGGTGAAACTCGCTAGCGAGAATTTGAACCATGTCGTTTCGTCGTTATGATCCTTTAATCTGTATTTGAACTAGTTTCCAAAACTTAATCGACTTTTGGCAGTAATGGCTTTCCATATTTCGGAATCATGGTGACGTACTGCAGCTTAATATACACTGCGACTGACGTAATTTGCATTCTATTATGGCCTGCACGAACTTGGCTGAAATTGTGATCGTTCTCGTAGCTGGTTTAAGCTGCTACGTTATTAAAGTAAAAATTATGGTCCTTGGATTACTCATAGCCACCATGTTATCTCGAAGTTTCTTTCTGAAAAGTACAATCCCTGTAAACAAGTACAATCCCGACGCTCAGGCCGTCCTAAACAATAAAACGCCATTACTCATAGGTCATAGCTCATAGCGATAGTCGATATCTCTGTTTTCTCAGTGTCTGTTTATGTCCGTAGTAATATGATATCACATTACGACGGAATATATTCGTCTATGGTTAAGACGAAGATTTGCTATCCTGAAATATACTGTCGCTATGAAACTAGATCTATGAGTTTGCTGTTTGAACGGTTCGTAAACAGAAGTAAGTTTAAGATTCATAATTTAGTTTCTATTGTATTATTTTATTGATGGTAGGCACGTTTTTATCGATACTTAAAGGTTCCAGAGTTATCATTCTTTAAATACTGACTGACCTACGCAACGTTAGGTTAAATTTCTGGATTTCTCGCGATACAGTTAACTCTCGCAGCGATATTTGCAATTGCATCTTTCATTTACCGGACAAAAATCGCGTAGAAATGCTACTGGAAATTTCCGGTATATCGGCAGCATTGAGACAATTCTCGGGCCGTTCATATTCGAGACATTCTTTGCCCAGAAATATCTCAATGGAATCGTATTTAATGGTGCAATATTATCGGTAATATTTATAGCAACCATGAACCATCTTGCTGCTGTGGCTCAAAGGCGATGTCCAGATGTAATGTAAACAAAGACTTTGTTCATTACATTTTCAACTGTTGTTTTTGAAATACGACGAACTGTCTGTGTGACTCGCACAATATTGCTTTCCTATCGGTTCAAATTAATATGAACTAGAGCCGAGCGGAGAAAATTTTGAACATGGGAAATTTAGTCGCACAAATCCTGTTTGTGATGTATGCAAAAAAACATCTGTAAAAAAATAGCGCTGCAAACTTATTAGGCAGATGTACATCGAGGACGCGGATTTAAAAGACGTCCAGAAAATGAGGTGCCGTGAAATATTGGTTACATGAATACTAGTAGCGCAGAGTCATCTGTTCATCCTGATCGCGGTCGCAGCGGCGAGATATCTGTAACTTTTCATCGTAACGAAATATTCATGATCTAATTCACTTTGCGACAACGCAAAAATTGTTACAGCAAATAACGCAGGTGTAAAGTAGCCTTTATAGCCTTTGTAGCCTGCATTGAGATAGCTTGTTGCATTTCCAATAGTTGCACGTGATTTGCATTGTGAAATCACGCTCAGATTCCGGTTTTGACAGGTATAATGGCCACTCCAGTGTGTTATGAGATCAGCAGGGATGATCAGTAACTGCACGTGACCAGTTTGGTCGCAAATATATCCTTTCTGGTCAGCGGACAAGCATACTACCAAAACTTTTTTCCAATACAGATCAAACTGGAATCAACGACTTGATTGGAAATACAGTAACGGAAAAATCTCAATCCTGTTTCATCCAGACTATGTCGATTTCTGGAACGAGTTCTGAGAAGCCGAAAGCAAAATATCAACGTATTTCGGATGAAATCTCAGACGTCGACGAAGAAACTACAAATTTGAATGCTGACTTGCTTACATTTCGTTCAATCGACGAAATTCTGGATGAAACAGGATTGAGATTTTTTCATTGGAAAGTTTTCCTGTTGATGTGCGTTCAACTTATGGCAAATGCGATTGAATATTCCATTTTATCCATTGTACTTCCGAGTCTAAAATCAGATTGGAAAATGTCTCCAATCATGGCCGGAGTATTGACTCTCTCGATGTCTGTCGGTATGCTGGTAGGATCACCTTTTTGGGCGTGGCTGTCGGACAAATACGGCAGAAAGTGCTCATTTATCGGGAGTGGAATGTTCATACTTGTCTTCGCATTGATGAGCGCGTTTTCAACGAACTACTACTGGCTTTGGATAAGCCTTTTCTTTGTCGGATTCGGAGTTACGACTGTAGATCTGAGTTATGTTGTAATAGTGGAATTCTTCCCGCTGAAATATCGAAATATGTTTTCAGTATTAACCACGCTGTTCTGGACATTGGGATTTCTACTTTCGGCTGTTGTTTCAATGAAGCTTTCGGTGATCGGTTATCATTGGGCTCTGGCTACCGTGTGTTTTCCGACTGCAATTTTTCTTATCGGTATGATATTTCTCCCGGACACTCCCTATTATCACCTTGCAGCTGGGAACGAGCAGAAAGCTTTGAACATTCTACAAGATTTGGCGCCTGAAATGGATTTCAGCGACACAAGACTTCGGAAACACAATCCCCAGACACAGAGGGCAGATTTCACACAGCTATTTCGATCAGGTTATTGGAAAATCACAATATGCGCTTGTATCGCCTATTTTGGAACCCTGGTGACGTATGACGGTTTAATATACACCGCGTCTGACGTTGCAGGCAGTCAAAATTCAACATCTTCAACGAATGGCACGCGAAACAGTGAAAATATGCATTCCATTATGGCCTGGATGAACTTGCCTGAGATTGTGATCGTTTTCATAACTGGTTTAAGTTGCTACGTTTTTAGAGTAAAAATTTTAACCCTAATTATTATAGTCTTGGCAATTTTATCACAGATTATCGCTTTGTTTGTCGTAAACCATAGAATGCCATTACTCATAGCCACAATGTTATCTCGAAGTTTCCTCGCGACAAACACGTGTCTAATGTCGTTATTCGCATCGCTGGTTTACCCGACAGAAAATCGTAGCATTGGAGTTGGAGCTTGTGTGTGTGTTGGAAGCATTGGGACAATTCTAGGACCGTTCATCTTCGAGACATTCTTTGCCCAAAAATACCTCAACGGAATTGTATTTAATCTTGTGATATTATCGGTGACAATTATAGCAACTGTCTTGCTGCCGTCGCAAAGCGCCACCTTAAGCTAAGATACATTGGTCAAATTTATATGCGTAGTTTGAAACAATTTTTATTAATGTGCGTGTCCACACCAGCTGACGAAGTTTTTGAGATTAGAGTTGAAGTTTTCAACTGGTAAATTCAAGATATTAGTTTGAAAGATTTGGAAACACACTATACGATTTCTACACGACTATATATCCATAATACTTTATACTTTAGCTTATCTTTTCGAAAGTGGTGAAAATGGAACCATTGGGCAAATTTAAACGGTTTTTACAAAGTTTGTCGATTTCCACAGCGAGCCCAGAGAAGTCGATTGCAAGTCAAAACAACGAAGTCCGTGCAAAATACCAATAAATCAAGATTTCAGATGATTGCACCGAATTGTATTTAGGCTTTTGATATTATTGGGGTCATATATAGCAACTGTCTTCCTATATAACCAAATCTCGTAAATCAGATTTTCCGATGATGTCAATGATAAAGCTTTTGAGAGCATCGGTAAATAACGTAACACAGTCTGTAAATAATCATGTAAATAGAACAACTCTTGATAGCAATCCCGTTCAACGAAATTCAAACTTAAAGCCGCCTGATTTTAATATATAAAATTTAAAGGGGCTTAAAGTGGCAAACTTAAATATAAATAGTCTTTTAAAACATATTGATGAAATTCGCTTTCTGCTGTTTGATAATCCGTTTGATATCTTGGCTACTAATGAAACTAGATTATATTCCTCAATCCCGGATTCGGAAATGTATGTTAATAATTACAACCTTCTCCGTTTTGATCGAAATAGATTTGGGGGTGGTGTGCCTTTTTAAATAAAGAAAGATATATAAAGGTTCATCTAAGAGAAAAGATCTAGTCCCTGATAATCTAGAAATGCTGTGGCTTGAGATTACTAGACAACACAGTAAGCCTTAATAGCTACTTAGTATCGACCACCTAATAGACCTTTTTTATCATGACGTCAGACGCGGAAAGTTTGATGTTACATGAAATTGATTGGTTCCACAAAACTATCGAGCCAATCGAACTTCATGTAACATTAGACATTCCGCGTTTGACGTCATTATTAAAAAGGTCCATTGTGAACTCGATAGATTTACTGATTTGAATTGTTTCTTTTTAAATGCGATACAGGAAATAAGGAGCTAATTTTGGTTGGAGATTTAAACTGCGACATCAGCAAACCAGTTACTGATTCACAAACTCGGCAGCTGCAATCTATAAGCACTTTATATCAAGTAACGTAAGTTATATGCATGTCTTGCTCCTTTCGCAAAGCTCCACCTTAATTAAGTTACATAACAAGGACCATTGTCGGAGACTGGGGTTAATTGGGTATTGATTTAGCATAATGCAATTAAGACGCGCCAATCATAAGTGAGACGATATAATCTAATATATATATATACAAGGGACGAGGGGGAAAGTAAAGTGTTCTGAGGGAGATGAGGGAGTGATGAGAATGTGACTTGTGATTGTGATTAGTATTGAAATAAATTGTAGAAAAGTGACTTTTAGTGGACTACATTCCTTTGGGAGGCAGGAAATTCACTAAACGTGGCACCTCCGACACGGGATACGAGCTTAATATGGATTTAGAGACGGCGAAAAACTCGCTCGAAACGAAGCTAACATTGCTTCAATTAAACGTGAAAAGAACCGAAGCTACACTTCAAAGTGAGCAACCTGATGCCATCGAGAGGCACTGTAAGGCTCTCAAAGCAATCGTCGACGCCGTAGAGGATTGTCGAAGAACAGTTGAAGAGCAGAAAATCATAGAGAAAGAAACACTAGAAAATATTGGCGAATGGAATATCGAGATCAACGAGAGACTTGCCGAAGCGGACAACGACGTTAAACGTATGAAAGAATGGCTCGAAAGCCGTCAACGTGACGAAAAAACGAGAGAACGCGAGGAAGAAATTAAACACGAGACGAAATTACACGAGACAAGGATGAAGTTCCAAACCGAGTTACAAACAGCGAAGTCCCAGCAAAACGAGCAAGGGGAAGCCGAGACTAAAGCTTCACATGTCAACGAGACAACTACGGGCATACAGGCAAGATTACCAAAGTTAGTGATAGCAGAGTTCGACGGTTCGTACACGGATTGGCTAAGATTTTGGGGACAATTTGAAGAAATCGTGGACAAAACCAGCGTTGCGGGCATCACAAAGTTAGCGTACCTACGGGGTTTGTTGTGTAAAAAAGTACGCAAAGGTATTGAAGCGTTGCCCTTTACATCTGAGGGTTACAATCGGGCGAAAAGTATACTAAAGAGTACCTATGGGAAGGAATCGGAAGTGATAAAGGCATACACAAAGGAGATAATGGATTTACCTCATATTTCCAACGTCAACGTGAAGAGAATACATGAGTTTAGCGAGAAACTAATGAACTGCGTTCAATCACTTCAGACTTTGGGTAAATTGCAGCAAGTTGAAGGGAATGTCGCGATGACGCTCGACAAACTACCGGCTATACGGGGCGATCTTGTACGTACAGATCAAGGTTGGGAGAACTGGGGCTATGATAAACTAGCAGAAGCTTTGCGCCAGTGGACGAGAAGGAATCCTATCGACAAAGCGGCGGACGAGCCAGAATACAGACGCCGCGAACGTACTAGCAAATTCTACCATGCACGCCAAAACAAGGGATGTGTTTATTGTGATGACGCCAATCACAAGTCCGGGGGGTGTACGAAAGTGACGTCGGCGAACGAGCGAAGACAGATCCTAGCCAAGCGTCATCTGTGCTTTAATTGTACCGGTGCGTCACATCGTGCGTCTGACTGCCCAAGTAAATCGAAGTGTTTCAACTGCGAAAAGCGCCACCATACATCGATATGCGACCAAAACGAAGAGAACCGAGAAAGGGTCTGACTACATCACGGGCGTTCTTTGAGGGCGCCCGCAGTAACTTTGCAACGCGGATAAATGCTATTAGCGATCTTTTCGGTCAGCACGCATTCATTATAATTGCGGTAATTGCGGGAACTTTAAAATATTGCGGGAAATATTTAAATATTTACCGGTTCGACGATCGAGGGAATTTAGGCAGGTATAAATATAAATATAGGCATAAATATGGCAAGCGCACGGTTACAAAACATAGTAAACGAAGAAATAAGTTTTCTGCAAGGCGCTTTGAAGGATTTTAAGGTGATTGGATCCTACTGTTACGGGTTTACTGACGATAATTATGAAGATATTATCGAAAAATACCTGTCCATTAGCTCTACTTGCTTCGTCACAAAAGAAGCACATTTTAAAGATAAAGGTCATAAACGATTCTCAAATACAGGTATGTACAAGTACTTCTCTATAGCTTTATTGGCGAAAATATTGAGCTTCAAATCTGAGCCCCTAATGTGAGGAGTATAGCCAGGGGCGCCGGAACCACGGTGTAGGTGCTCCCCCCACCCTGCCCTTTGTTGTTCTTTATTTGAGGAGAGGTGGTATTCTAACTATTGAAAGTGCCCTTTTTCGAGATGCCCCCCCCCCCTGCGCTAGATGATGATGACACGTGAACATATATCAAACCTGACCAAAGTGAACAAAATTATATGTTGTTTAATTATAATTCATACACAATATTATTTTTCATATTCAATATGGCAAAATACAAGGTGCAAAGGTGAATAACACTCTGAAAGTATACAGTCTTTTTATGAAAATGTATTGCAAAATACTTCTAGAAAATCTCATCTTTGAACACAACGGAGGGAAAGTGCCAATCTCAATGTTCGGAAAACCATTTACCATAATGGGGACAGAAACTCGTCATTGTGTACACGGCTCTGAAAAGGTAAGATAAGTAAAATTAAGCTACAGTAAGTAAATTTCATTATCACTTCTACAAAATCTAGGCATTAGTATTACAGTTAATTCCAATCACATTTACGTACCTTTCGCCTTGGGTATTTTGTAGGATGCACGAGGTAGTTGGAAAAGAAAACCAGAAAACGAGCACAATTATGCAAGAAATCGCCGGATTATGATACAGGGAACGCGTAAACTAAACTGCCCGGCCATGATTCAAGTACGGCAAATCAAAGTATTCAATGACTTCGAACTTCCCAACAACATCTCGTCTTCTACCCAAATCAGAATCGCCAAGCAAAAAATGGTTGAGACACTAAAAGAAAAGCTGAAAAGCGACGATGTTTTGAATACATCTTTCCGGTATTATATCAAGATTCCCGTTTGTAAAGATCACTGTGGACATCCTGTAGGCGAAGATGCATGCGTGAATCAAATCGTCGATAAGAGAATAATTGCTAGGATCTACGAATTGGTAAAAAAAAATGTTACTAGCATCAAGGAAATAAAAAGATGTCTTGACGAATTTGTGTTGAAGGAGTTATTTTCTGGTGTTCCTGGTAACAGGTTGCCAAAAAAGACCAATCGAAAATACTATCCAAGTTCCAAAGACCTAAGGACTCACGTTGGGAAAGCAATTGCGTCTCAAAAAATATTGTGATCTGAATGTCTTATCCGGAAAATACCAAACTGGAAGATATCTTCGCCCACAGCAAACTACCTCCTACGACCAGAAGACGGTAAACCGAATTTCTTTGGAAATATTGTGTCTTTAAAAAACAGCAGCAACTTCTTATTTGTACATCAAGAAGAATGGCAACGAAAATTATTGCTAAAGTATGGGAGTGATCTCGCTCTACTGGATGCGACGTATAAAACAACAAAATACGCCATGCCGTTATTCTTTTTATGTGTCCACACAAATGTTGGATACAAAGTCGTAGCGGAGTTCATGTGTCAGCACGAAGATGAAGTTTCGATATCAGAAGCCTTGGGGGTTTTGCAGCAATGGAACCCACAGTGGAATCCAAAGTACTTCATGGTGGATTTCTCGACGGCTGAGATTGGAGCAATAGAAGCGCAATTTCCAGGAGTGATTGCATACATCTGCGATTTTCATCGTCAACAGGCAATACGACGTTGGAGCAGGACGGGACGAAATGGCCTTGATGAAAACGAACAGGAGTTTCTTCAAAACGCCATGACGAGAATTGGTTGCGCGCCAACGCAAAGTGAATACGAAGAGGCATTGTCTCAGTTTCGTCAGTCAAATGTCTACAAAACAAAAGAAAGTGTTAGAAACTATATCGAAAAAACATGGATACCTTGCGCATTTCGATGGTGTCATGCATTCCGAAAGTCTCAAGTGCTGAATATCGTCAACACCAATAATGGGGTAGAGTCGTTGAATCGGCTATTTAAATATGACTATTTACCCAGATCTATTGACAAGTCGTTGTATGGCATCGTCGTGTTAATTGTCACATCGTTTCTTCCCGAGACATACCAAGCGTACCGAAGTGCGAACTTGCGATTGAGTGGATCATACAGGAAATACAACACAATGGTTCCCGAGTATCTGGAAAACCGTCCAACAAATTTTGTAAAGCACTGCCTGAAGACGAAGATGGCTGCACAAGAATTTTGCGAAGATGATATCACTTGTGTGAATCACGAGAAGGGTGAATTCGTGGTAAAAAGCGCTACCAGCAAGACGGTAAAATATCTTGTCGAACTCGCAATACCAAGATGTGCATGTGAGAGCTGGAGGCGAACCAACTATCCGTGCAAGCACTTCTTTGCAATTTTCAACTTCTTTTCCAGCTGGCAATTTGATAATTTACCGCCAGACTACCGCAACAGCGTGTTTATCACACTCGATAATGATAACGTGCTGATCAACCCAGAAATCTCTACGGATCGTCACCCCCCACAACCTCGTTTAAGCAGCAACTGGCTGACAGACACCAACATTGAAACAGCAGCGCCAATCAGGCTCGAAACAGAAAAACACATCAACGCCACATCCACGTCATTATCTGAGTCGCTACGATGTGATAAACTAAAGCAGACATTTCGAGAAAAACTATCGGCACTTCAAAATATCTCCTACTTACTCGATAATGAGAACCTGAACCTATTGGAAAATGCAATTGCCATCGTCGACGATCTTCGAGTAAAACTTCAGAGCGCATCTCCAAAAGAGAATGGTCTTCTTTTGCGGGGAAGCCCTGAAAAGAAGAAGTTAAAAATCACAAGCACTGATTACCACAAAGTTTTCCACAAAAAACTATCTCTCAGACGAAAAAGAAAGAAAACAGTAGATACTTCATCAGAATTCTGTTTAAAAAATAAGGCTTTGAAGAAGGTCAGTTATTAAAGAGTTATTGAAGATTGATATGCACTTTTTTGTTTTCACCTTACGGAAAAATATACCTGAAATGCTGCTTAATGTATTTTAAATAAAAATTTTCATTTTAAAGGATCATGTTGCAGAGGAAAAACCCTTCGTTGATCTTACTGTGGATGTGCTTGATGATAATGATTGTTCTGATAATAATTCAGAACTGAACACATCAAAGACAGACAAGTAAGTACTGAATAATTGACAGCATTTGTTGATTATCAATGAGCAATCCCAAATTTAGATAACTGTAATTTCTAGGTAATCACTTTATGCAATCTGAAATGAAAAATAGAAAATTCCTCTTTTAGGTGTGCTTCTCAGATGGTTACCAATGATCATCAAAGTGTAAATCAAAATGATGAATCACAAACCTATGACACTAATGAACATGGTCCCTATGCTCCATATGAGCGTATCATCTATGCATGCAAAAGCAACCAATTTGAAAAGGACAGTCGGATGTTGGAATATGGGCCTTCGACACTAAATCTTTCTGACTTGTGTACTCTAATTCCACCAAATAAATATAACAGCAGCTTCAAAACCCTAGCAAAAGTGGACAATAAAGATTTTGTTTGTGGCTGGCTTGTAGACAAGGTAATAGTAAGCACGAACATAGAGAAAAGTGCATATATGTACACACAGTATTTTTACTTCATTAATTAATATATCATATATTAACTTATGTGTTGTTTCCTAACAGCATATAGTGGTATACTTCATATTTCCAGATTTATTTTCTCCTATTTTTTCTCTGCATATAGGTCATTGAAGCATTTTTGTGGAAGCTACGTTGTTCACACCCAGAAACCTTTTATGCAGATGCAACTCTATGTCAATTGGTACAACGACAGGCAAGCACTAGGAGACTATGGATAGGTGAACACTTTGGGTCTGTGAAGAAAATTTTCATTCCAATGAACCTTGGTGGAATGCACTGGACATACGGTATAACTCATTAGACATTCAGTTGTGCCAAGCTATTATCTAAGGCATACGGTATTAAAGAGATAATGTGCTGCTGCATGTCTGCATTTGTGGTGGTTAGTACTGTATGATGGAAATATATGTTTTGTCTTCTCACTTTTTTATTATGCATTAAATTTTAGGCTATTGACAAGGAGAAATCTGTTAGATTGTATATTGATCCTATGAGTGGCCCTAGAACAATAACAGGATCGCTTAAGTTGCTGATTGACAACATATGGTAAATTTCTTGATTGCATGCCAAGCAGTCCAAAAAGAATGTATGTATTATGTAAACTAATTAAATTTTCTAGCACTATTGTGGATATAAAAACTGGCTGGAAAACTAAAGAATGGATATGTATTGAACCAAAGCATTTTCTTCAGACAGACAGTTATAACTGTGGTGTTCTTATTTGTCTTGTAAGTATATTATAGTTTGTAGGTTTCTCTAATTTTGCATTAATGGTATATGAAATAAATGAACCAGATATAGTGCATTCAAGTCTTTCGATAATAGCCACTGAATATACACTGACCATTAACAAGGTCACAATCATGATTTTTCTCACATATACTCTATGGCTTGTATATAATAATAATCTCTAGCTGGCTCAAATTGCAATAGCTGGACTACTTATATTATGTTTAAACACATTTCTAATCTGACACTCTAGTTTGCACATTGTATAACCAAAGGAGAAGCACTTGATCAGCCATTCAATGTCGAGATAGAAAGGCAGAAGCTTGCCTCATCCCTTTTCGGCAGTTGTTATGAAGACATTAATCAGTAAGTACCATGTTGAAGTTCCATTGACTGTGAAGCAACACAATGATCCAACAATTAAGATTGGTACACAAAATGAGTCACAATTCACTGTAGAAATACTCCTTAAATATTCATATACTAAAAGTAACAAAATCTGATTCTATATTTCATTTGTTTGTGTATAATGCTTGTTTCCATATAGAAGGGATGATTCATGCTGCAAAATTTGCAAGGATGATGGGGGAGAAGATTGGCTTGGTTGTGATGCTTGCCGCCAATTCTTCCATGCTAGCTGTCTCAACCTAAACTATGGTGAAGCACTACAGGATATGTTTTACTGTCCTTAAGGAAAATTGAAAATTCCTGCCAGGTTTTTAGGAATTTGGAGAATGACTTAAAATAAAATAGTTTGGTAAAAAAGAGATATATTAATGTTTACTGTATATACTAAGGGAATACTTTGTATATATTAATTCTACTGCAAGAAGGATATTAAACGACAAAGATATTTTAATAGCACTTTGACTTTGAGGATTGTAATTAAAAAACATTCCATGCACACATTGCGTAAACGAAAATATTGGCAAGTGGCAACCCTACCTTTTCATAGGTTGTCGAGGAGACCTTTCCACAACAGACACTCTATCTTTGAAGGTAATCCAGAAAACAGCGCTGGTAAACCCAAATTATCCAAGAGTGGTATTTTAAATTTATGGATTAATGCGTTGCAGAGCAGAGCTTAAAATAACCTAAATGACCCTAATCAACCCTTAGTTCATAATACCGTTTTACATCAAGTATCTCGTGGTATTCAAATATATCCGCGTTGCAAAGTTACTGCGGGCGCCCTCAAAGAACGCCCGTGATGTAGTCAGACCCACCGAGAAAAGCTTTTGTCTGCGAACGTAAGTGGTGAAGGATTATTCCCCTTAGTTCTGGTCAAGGTTAATGGGATTACCGTGAGAGCACTAATTGACTCTGGCGCCGGGAGTTCCTACGCTTCCGCCAAGTTGATTGATTTATTGCACCTGAAACCTTGCGAAGTAAAGACGAAACGTGTTGACATGTTAATGGGATCGTGTGTCGAAAGATTTCAAACTTATGAGACGGTGATGACATCTGTTGATAACAATTTCCAGATGGATGTAAAATTAACCAAGGTAAATAAAGATAAACTATTAACGATAGACAATCCTAATTACGAGGCGATAATCGCGCGCTATTCACACCTTAGCGGCGTAAAAATGAACGACGACGACAAAAAAGCCAGCTTACCGGTCCACGTAGTGTTGAGTGGGGGAGAATACGCTCGGATCAAGACTGAAACGAAGCCTCACGTCGGGAAAGAGGGTGAACCGATCGCAGAATACACTAGACTGGGCTGGTTCATAATGTCACCAGGAGAGGAATTCGACAAAAATACTATGCTTATGACTCAAACTAGCCAGACAGACTACGAGGAACTCTGCCGTCTAGACGTACTCGGGTTAGCTGACGTTCCAACACACGATCAAGGAACGGTGTACTCCGAATTTAAAGAGCAATTAACGAGAGATCCAGCGGGATGGTACGTAACGGGGCTGCCTTGGCGAGGAAATCATGCAACCTTGCCAAACAACAAACAAGGAAGTCTACGTCGTCTGAACCACCTCACGAAGCGACTGCACCAAAACGGCCTTACCACTGAGTACGACTCCATCATCCGAGAGCAACTGAACGAGGGGATTGTTGAGAAAGCACCGGAAGTCCCTAGCAACAAGGAATTCTACATTCCACATAAGGCGGTAGTTAAAGAGAGTGCGGAGAGTACCAAAATGAGAATAGTGTACGACGCCTCCGCGAAAGCCAAACCTGATGCCCCATCCCTCAACGAGTGTTTGAACCCCGGTCCCCCCCTCCAGAACAAACTTTGGGACGTTTTGGTCCAACAACGCGCTTACCCAGTCGTAGTAGCCGCTGACATTCGAAAGGCGTTTCTGCAGATTCGGATTCGAGAAAACGAACGTGATTGCCTCCGTTTCCATTGGCAGAAAGAACCACACTTAGAGATCGAAGTTCTACGTTTCACAAGAGCATTGTTTGGGCTGATCTCGTCGCCATTTCTTCTCGCCGGAGTGCTCGAAAGCCATTTTGACGCCTGGGAAGGGAAATACCCGGACCTGATACGAGAGTTGCGGCGCAGTTTATACGTTGATGATCTGCTGACCGGGGGCCAAACTGTACTGCAGGCTCGTACGCGAAAGGAAAAGGCCATTGAAGTCCTGGACGATGCCACTTTCCAATTACACAAGTGGCACTCGAACGTTGAAGAGTTAGAGAGAGACGGTGATCGGTCCCAAAATCATGACGAACAATCGTTTGCGAAACAACAATTTGGAGTGCAACCTGGTGAAACGAAGATGCTTGGTTTGAAATGGAATAAAGTCGAGGATACCCTGTCGATCAATTTTCCTGAAGATGAACATCCCGTGACCAGACGCGGTATTCTCGGCAAACTCGCAAAGATCTATGACCCCCTCGGTCTGGTGTCACCACTTACACTAGAAGGGAAGCTGGTGTACAGAGCAGCCTGCGAGTCGAAGACGCCGTGGGATGCCAAACTTAATGACAAACTGACTCAGCGTTGGAAGAAGTGGGAGCGAATCACCCCCAAGATGGAGACGACACCGCGGGCGATTGTAGACCATAGAGAACCGGTGGATGAGCTAGAACTTCACGCGTTTGGAGACGCCTCTACACAAGGAGTAGGCGCCGCTGTCTACTCAATCGTGAGACAAAAGTCGGGAGTTACGCAACGACTTGTAGCTGGGAAGGGTCGACTCGCTAAGCAAGGGCTCACTATCCCTCGGTTGGAATTGGTCGCAGCACACATGGCCACCAACCTTGTGACGAACGTGGGCAGCGCCTTACAAGGACTTCCGAAGCCCAGAGTACTCGGATGGTTAGACAGCTCAGTTGCCCTACATTGGATCCGCGGTAACGGACAATATAAACAGCTTGTGGCAAATAGAGTCGCCAAGATCCAACTTCATTCAGAAATCGAGTGGCGATACGTGCCTACCCATGACAACCCTGCCGACCTAGCCAGCCGCGGAGGGACAGTGACCACACCGTTGTGGTGGACTGGGCCCGAGTGGCTACAAGACCACGATCGTTGGCCAACCAACCCAATTACCGAAGCTTCAGCAGATTCAGAGGCTGAAGCCAAGATCATCAAAGAAGTCTTGTGTGTCGCACGAGTAGAAGATATGAAGACGGACGACTTCGATGACCTTCTCAAAAGACGAGATTTACGACGCGTCCTGAGAACCGGTGCGTGGATTCTACGGTTTGTTCGCAATTGTCGAAGCAAGCAAAAGCAACGCGGTCCGTTGACAACTCCAGAAGTGAGCGAGATGAAGACTTGGTGGATCAAACGTGTCCAACTCCAAGACAGTTCAACACCACATCACGAGCAAACCAAAGTCGCCCTCAACCTGCAGAAAAACGTCGACGGTGTGCTCGAGTGTCGGGGAAGAATACAAGGGAAGTACCCGACGTATCTACCTTCTGACGCGCCGTTTACGAGGAAGTTGGTGCAGAGAGTGCACCTCGAGACACTGCATGGTGGCGTTGGGTTAACTATGGCCGCAGTGAGAGAGGATTACTGGGTTCCAAAGCTCAGACGGTTGGTAAAGTCTATCCAAAGAGATTGTTGGGGTTGCAAGCGGTCCAGAGCAACGGCCTTCGCAACACCCCCTCCTGGTCAGCTTCCAGAAGACCGAACCACCGGAGAAACAGCCTTCGAAGTCGTGGGAACTGATTTCGCAGGGCCAATACGGTATCGAAAAGCTGCGAAGCGAGAGGGAAAGGCCTATCTGGTCATTTTCTCTTGCAGTTTGTCGAGAGCTATCCACCTAGAAGTCATTCCTAATCTTGAAACGACAACCTTTATCCCGTGCTTGAAACGGCTAGTGGCTCGGAAGGGTCGACCTCGAGTTATCTACTCAGACAACGGTCGGACATTTGTGAAAGCGGCGAAGTGGTTGGTTCAAGCGGTTGAAGACGAACGCCTCCACAGCCACCTAGAAGAGTGTAGCATCACGTGGAAATTTAACCTGTCAAGAGCACCCTGGTGGGGCGGGCAGTTCGAGAGACTGATAGGTATAGTGAAGAAGGCAATGCACAAGACGATCGGGGGAGCAACGCTCACTTGGCAAGAGTTAAGCGAAGTCATGTTAGATATCGAGACCCAGATAAATAGACGCCCTCTGAGCTACGTGGAAGATGACGTTGAGCTCCAAACTCTTACCCCGTCTACCTTCCTATTTCAAAGGTCGAATCAACTACCCGAACAAGAGCCCTGGCGAAAAGAAGAGAAATCCCTACGAAAGCGGGCCAAGTTTTTGATCACTTGCAAGGAGAACCTATGGAATCGCTGGCGGAGAGAGTATCTCACTGCGCTTAGAGAGAGACATAATTTGACACACCAGACAACGAAGTTCAAAGTCTCGGTAGGGGACGTGGTCATAGTAAAGAGTGACGACAAAAACAGAGGAAATTGGCCTTTGGCTATTGTACAACGAGTCTTTCCGGGGAAAGACGGAATCATTCGCGCAGTTAAACTGAAGACAGCTAAAGGAACACTCGAGAGACCGGTCCAGCATCTTTACCCCATGGAGCTTGCAAGCGAGAGCGTTAAACCAGAAGCAAACACACTGAATCCAGATGCTAAACCTTTCCGACCGAAGCGAAAAGCTGCTGAAAAAGCTGATGAACAAATTAGGAAGATCGCAGAGTTTGAACGAAAACTATTTTAAGACTAAAGACATCCCTGACATTATTGACATTTTTCTATATATTCATTGTTATGTTCTATTAAAGTCTCCTTCATAACATGTATCTCCCATATAGGAGCTACATGGGGGGAGTGTGTCGGAGACTGGGGTTAATTGGGTATTGATTTAGCATAATGCAATTAAGACGCGCCAATCATAAGTGAGACGATATAATCTAATATATATATATACAAGGGACGAGGGGGAAAGTAAAGTGTTCTGAGGGAGATGAGGGAGTGATGAGAATGTGACTTGTGATTGTGATTAGTATTGAAATAAATTGTAGAAAAGTGACTTTTAGTGGACTACATTCCTTTGGGAGGCAGGAAATTCACTAAACCATAATAAAGAAATAATTTTGAGGAAAGAAACTGGGTAATTTGCTAGTTTTTATTAGCTATTTGATAGTGATAGAAAATCCGACACTAAAAAGCGCATTGAGTAATTTTAAAGACAGTATAACCCAGGGCTTTTTTTATTGCGTCCTTCGAAACAAACTGTAATGACTGACATGTCAGAAGGACAGTGGCGTAGCCAGCAACGATAATTGGGGGGCGAATATTCATATATTCATGTTAACAGACTGTAAAGACAATTGATTTGAAAATAAATTAATCCTGCGTATCACGAATATATGAATATGTGCCCCCCCAATTATCGTGCTGGCTACGCCACTGCAGAAGGATGAAACTCGCTGACTGTATTCAATAAAGCACGTTGTGCCCGACATTAGATGCATATTAATGTATGTATGTATGTGTGTATGTATGTATGTATGTAAAGTCTTTATTAAAATTAGAATGTTGCATAAAGGAGTCACAACAAACGTGGGACTTTACATTCCATAAATTGGGATAATACAGGCGTAAACGACCAATCAGAATTTTTTCTGCTATCAATTAGCCTAGAGCCAGTGTTTGTATTTATGGACCAGCAGTTGTGACAATTAAACATAACAATTTGTATGCAAATACACCTTCACAGTCAACCGTCACTGGTCAAGCGCGTATCATCCCTAACATTCCCCACATATTTGTGTTCTCGCGGTAATGCAAGTCATCATACCAGCAAAAATATTATTTAATACAGTTCTAACTGAAAGCAAGCAAGGATTGAAAATGGAACAATGGGTCAAATTGAAATGTTTTTTAGAATGTTTTTTCACAGCGGATTTTGAAAAGTCGAAAGCAAGTGTAAACGGCGACAATGGTGTCCAAGCAGAATACATAGGAATCCCAGACGAGATCTCATACGATGACAAAAAAACTACATACATGAATGTTGATTTTCTAAAATCTCGTTCAATCGACGAAATTTTGGATGAAACAGGATTGAGATTTTTTCATTGGAAAGTTTTCCTCTTAATTTGCCTTCAGCATATGGTAGACGCACTTGGAACTTCCATTTTATCCGTGATACTTCCGAGTCTGAAATCAGATTGGGATATGTCTTCAATCATGGCTGGGGTATTGACACTCTCGATATCTGTCGGAATGATGGCAGGTTTTACGTTTTGGGGTTGGGTGTCGGACAAATACGGGAGAAAATGTTCACTTATTGGCAGTACGACGTTCATACTCGTTTTCTCATTTGTGGGTGCGTTTTCAGCGAACTATCACTGGCTTTGGATAAGCCTATTCTTTGTCGGCTTCGGGGTGGCGATTATAGATGTAGGTTACATTGTGATAGTGGAGTTTTTCCCGCCGAAACATGGAACTATGTTTTCTGTATTAACTACAATCTTTTGGAGTGTAGGATTTCTATTTTCGGCTGTCGTTTCAATGGAGATTTCGGTGATCGGTTATCATTGGGCCCTGGCTACTGTGTGTTTTCCGACAGCAATTGTCCTTATCGGTCTGATATGTCTCCCAGAGACTCCCTATTATCGCCTTGCAGCTGGGGACGAGCAGAAAGCTTTGAACATTTTACAAGATTTGGCGCCTGAAATGGATTTCAGCGACACAACACTTCGGAAACACAGTCCTGAGACACAGAGAGCAGATTTCACACAGCTATTTCGATCAGGTTATTGGAAAATAACAATATGCGCCTGTATCGCGTGCTTCGGAACCCTGATGATGTATGACGGTTTAATATACACCGCGTCTGACGTTGCAGGCAGTAAAAAATTTACATCTTCAAAGACTGGTACACGAAACCGCGATAAGATGTATTCCATTATGACCTGGATGAACTTGCCTGAGATTATGATCGTTTTCATAACTGGTTTAAGTTGCTACGTTTTCAAAATAAAAATCTTAACCCTGATTATTATAGTCTTGGCACTTTTATCACAGATTATCGCTTTGTTTGTCGTAAACCATAGAATGCCATTACTTATAGCCACAATGTTATCTCGAGGTTTCCTTGTGACAAACACATGTCTAATGCCGTTGTATACATCGCTGGTTTACCCGACAGAAAATCGTAGCATTGGAGTTGGAGTTTGTGCGTGTGTTGGAAGCATTGGGACAATTCTAGGACCGTTCATCTTCGAGACATTCTTTGCCCAAAAGTATCTCAACGGAATTGTATTTAATCTTGTGATATTATCGGTGACAATTATAGCAACTGTCTTGCTGCCGTCGCAAAGCGCCACCCTAAGCTAAGTTACATTGGTCAAATTTATATGCGTATTGTTTGAAAATTTTTTATTACTCCGCCTGCGTATGCGCAGCGGAGTCTTAAAATGCCATGGTCTTTTTTCCTTTTCGTCGTAGCATAGGCGGCCCAGAACTGATCTCACTGACCTCGCGCGACGCCTATGTTGTCTGAACAGTTTTATATTATGTCTTATGACAAGGTAGGCAACTCTCACGCCAAATAAGCCAAAAACGCACGACAGTTAACCCAAACACCTTCACAAAACCGCAAATATTTCATAAAAATATGGCGAATAAGAAAAAAAAAGTACAACACATTAAACTTGAATAATTTTACTACATTTATACTATATTTTTAGCATTCAAATGGATTCCTATGCATGTATAAAACGTGAATGTTTTTATGGTTTCTGGCAAATATATTTCAAAACCTATGCTGGGGACACCTTGCCTATACCTTCGTCATATTTTTAAATTGAGAATAGAAAGCTGATTGGCTCTTTTTAAACGACAGCCAATCAGCTTTCTATTCTCAATTTAAAAATATGACGAAGGTATAGGCAAGGTGTCCCCAGCATAGGTTTTGAAATATATTTGCCAGAAACCATAAAAACATTCACGTTTTATACATGCATAGGAATACATTTGAATGCTAAAAATATAGTATAAATGTAGTAAAATTATTCAAGTTTAATGTGTTGTACTTTTTTTTTCTTATTCGCCATATTTTTATGAAATATTTGCGGTTTTGTGAAGGTGTTTGGGTTAACCGTCGTGCGTTTTTGGCTTATTTGGCGTGAGAGTTGCCTACCTTGTCATAATATAAGACTACTGTTCAGACAACATGAGCGTCGCGCAAGGTCAGTGAGATCAGTTCTGGGCCGCCGATGGTCGTAGTCGTAGTTTTGGGCGACAGAAGTTGGCATTTCTACAGGTAACCCAAAACATTTTGACCGAGAAGCCCTAGGTTACACGGATGAATTATGTACATCAGTTGGCATTTAGGGAGGTTTGGGGTTGATTTTGTGTAATGTTTATTTTTCTTCGTGTCCTTGTGCCTCGTGTTTGAATCGACGTTCTTCCTTTGTGAAAAATTGAAAAATATGAATGTCGAATTGAAAGAGCTTTCAGAACCATGTTCAACAACTACAAAGGTAAGTTGTTAAGATTTAGATCGTATTCATATCCTGTGGCGGTAATTGCATATTAGTAAACCCAAGATTTTCTGTTTTATAGTTGATTTAGTGATTCACGTTGACGTAGTGTTTTAATACAAACTAGGTATATACAAAGTGCTGTTTGCTCTCAGAAATTATACATACTACAAGTTTAGCGACCCTGCATGCAAAGAATTCGATATTTCTATTTACCAGAGTCTATTTTAAATGTATAAATGATTACAAAGCCTGGTTGAATTGTAATCAGGACCCAACATTTTGACAATCCAGTCTTTGGCAGGTGACATCATCCCTTGGGTATCTAAGAAGCTTTGATTCCAGCTTTAGATCACCCCTGATGAAGACAGTAGACTGGACTGTCGAAACATTAGGTCCTGATTACAATTTGACCAGGTTTTGTGATCATTTATATAAACCAGAGTAGCGAGCGATAACAGGGTTAAAAGGGGTATTAAAACTGTTCCTATTACCGGATTGATTTGCCAAACTTATAAAACCCTATTTTTGTTCTAATTTCCAGGTTTTGGTACTCATTTGCAGGAAGTTGCAAAAAAAAATTAATGTCCCTGAGTGTGAATTCCATGAATGCACATTAGAATACCAAGTCACATTTGAATACCAAGTCACATTTGAACTTTGAATGCCAACTTACCTTTGAATGCCAACAATGAAGTTACAATGAATAAAGTTATATTAATTAATGAAGTTACATCAGTAAACAAAGTTAAGCAACTGAATGAAGTTATATCATTAAATAAAGTTACATCAATGAATAAAGATGCATTAATAAATAATTTCATATTAATGAATACAAAATGTATAACAAAAAATCCCAAAAGTATGACAGACAACAGTTTGACAGGCAACAGTACAAAAAGCACCTCATTTTGTCACCTGTAGTGTTTCCTCGCCTGCAGGCGGAGTAACGCCTTGAGCAGGCGTCTTGTTAATTTGTGTGTCCACATGCACCCGCTGACGGGTTGGGATAAAATGCGGATCCAGACGGATGGCGGACGAACGGACAAAAAGAATAAAATGCGGATTGCGGACAAAAAAGAATAAAATGCGGATTGCGGACAAAAAGAATAAAATGCGGACAAAAAGAATAAAATGCGGACAAAAAGAATAAAATGCGGACAAAAAGAATAAAATGCAGATAAAGGAACAAGGAATATACTAAATTGCAGATCACGAAGATTGGCGTAACCGTCACATCTCACAAGAAAACGACCGAGCGCGTGAATGATCGTGAGAGCTATATAGCAATGTAGGACGTTTGGTTGTCAAAAAAAATGCACTGCTCTTTCAGCTGGCGATGAAAATTCTCAACCCCAAGAAAGTTAGCTACGTATTTTTAATCAAATTATCAGGCACAGGGGGTCCAGGGGGCCTGTGTCCCCCAAAATTTTTTAAGGGACCAAAAGTGCCCTTTTTGTGATGAAAAATGCCTTTATGTCCCTGTATGTTAAACCAACTGTTTTTCTAAGCCTGGGGCCGGTTGTATAAAGCTTTTAACTAGATTTTGCGTAGTTAAATCGTAGTTAACTCAGACTCTGATTGGCCAAATCGGTCACTAATAGACCTTTGAGGTGCTTACGTCATGTCGGTCTCGAACAATGAATCGCAATGCAATCTGGGAAACAAGTGGGACAAAATTGTATAGATAGAAAACTGTGTGACGTAAGCACTTCAGAAGGCTATTATGATTACATTGATACCATCATGGGTTATGCCACTATTGATTCCAGAACATATCGTATTCCTACGTCAATTTGGAGTTCAAGTTTGAAGTTTCAAATGTATACATATAATTATTTAGTTTATGGTTATTTCACTGTTGAATGTGTCTTTAATGACTAGATATAATTGATATTGAGTTCTAGTTTATTGATTTTGAGGGGTTAAATGTTGAATATTTTGTATTATGCTTATAATTTACATTTAATCACACTGTACGAAGATCAGCTTAATTTACATTGTACAGCTCAATCCGCATTTTATTCTTTTTGTCCGCATTTTATTCTTTTTGTCCGCATTTTATTCTTTTTGTCCGCATTTTATTCTTTTTGTCCGCAATCCGCATTTTATTCTTTTTTTCTGCAATCCGCATTTTATTCTTTTTGTCCGTCCGTCTGCCTATCCGTCCGCTTATCCGTCCGTCCGTCCGGATCCGCATTTTATCCCACCCGCTGACGACGTTTTTGAGATCAGACTTGAAGTTTTCAACTGGTAAATTCAAGATAATATTTTAAAGATTTGGAAAACACACTACACGATTTCTACACGACTATATATCCATAATACTTTATACTTTATACTTTATACTTTAGCTTATCTTTTCGAAAGTGGTGAAAATGGAACCATTGGGCAAGTTTAAACGGTTTTTACAAAGATCTCAGATGATTGCACCGAATTGTATTTAATCTCGTGATATTATTGGCGTCATATATGAGCCCACCCTTAATCCCTCCCATTATTTATGCAGGGTTAAATAAGCCACAGCAGGTTCATGGGACAGGTCAGTTCAGGGGGGGTAATACCAAATATTTTTCAGGGTTAAAATGTGATGTGAAGTACAGATTGGTGTGCCATACCGCTTGTATTCTCATATATTTCTCCCTTCGTTCCCTCATATAACCGAAATTATACTTGCAGGCTGGAACAGCCTTTGTATAATTCGAATTTTTGCAAAAAAAATCTCGGATCCTGGCCTTTTTATAGAGCAAGACCGAGCTCGTAAGACGGGGGTTGGATCGCCGGTCCCACTACGGGAAAGTGAATAAGCTCTTTATCAGCCAATCACAGGGCTTAATTTCACCAGAAGTGACACTTGTCATATGATAATTAATTATTAATTAATTGTCAATTACATGTGTCTTCGGAAATCTATTAATTCTCGCCTCGTTTTTGATTGCTACATCCAGTGTATTTATGGATCAGCAGTTGTGATAATTGAACATGACACTTACTATGCAAATACGCCTTCACAGTCAACCGTCACTGGTGACTGGTCAAGTCTGTATCATCGCTAACATTCCCCACATATTTGTGTTCTATTCAATATATTCAATATATTCAATATATTATACCATTAAAAATATTATTAAATTCAGTTCCCACTGAAAGCAAGCAAGGATTGAAAATCGAACAATGGGTCAAATTGAACACGATGACAAAGAAACTACATACTTGAATGTTGATCTTCTCAAATCTCGTTCAATCGACGAAATTCTGAAGGAAACAGGATTGAGATTTTTTCATTTGAAAGTTTTCCTCTTAATTTGTGTTCAACATACGGCAGACGCGCTTGGAGCTTCCATTTTATCCGTGATACTTCCGAGTCTAAAATCAGACTGGGATATGTCTTCAATCATGGCTGGGGTATTGACACTCTCGATATCTGTCGGTTTGAGCGTCGGACCCTCGCTTTGGTGTTGGGTGTCGGACAAATATGGTAGAAAATGTTCACTTATTGCCAACACGACGTTCATACTTGTTTTCGCTTTAACGAGCATGTTTTCAATGGATTATTACTGTCTTTGGATAAGCCTTTTCTTTGTTAACTTCGAAGTATGAGGCATAGAGGTGAGTTATGTCGTAATAGTCGAGTTTTTTCCGTCAAGACATCGAAATATGTTTTCTGTATTAATCCCAGCCTCCTGGACTTTAGGATTTCTACTTTCGGCTCTCGTTTCAATAGAGCTTTCGGTGATCAATTATCATAGCGCCCTGGCTACCGTGTGATTTCGAACTGTAATTTTCCTTTTCGGTATGATATTTCTCCCACACACCCCCTATTATCACCTTGCAGCTGAGGACGAGCAGAAG